AAAGGTGTTTAATTAAAAAACCCTAAGGGGGGGGGGGGGGGGTTCTGCCCCAGAGATAGGCTTTAAATATAGTATTTAGCATATTCACTTTTTGTCACACACCTTATATACTTCTACCTATTTATACGCCCACCTGTGTTGCTGAATGTGACTAACTACTACTAAGTAGACATGTGCGATGTTCCGAAACGAAATTCGGACGAAATTCCTGAAATTCGGAGATTCGGATGTATCTGAATAACAGCTAAAACGAATGCAAACAAATCCAAATTCCCGATTTCTGAAATTTCGTCCGAATTTCGTTTGCGGTAGTCCGGTCAAACTTTCCTTTTTGGGCGAATTTTCATTTTTTAGCGGTAGTCCAGTCGAATTTCGTTTTTGGATGACATTTCGTTGCAGCAAAATGACTATAGGAAAAAAACCAAAATCAAATTATTTTTTTTTAGTTTGCAGAAGATGAAAAAAAAAAAGAGTGAGGTTCCCCCCCAATTCATACCAGACCCTTTAGGTCTGGTAGGAATGTTAGGAGGGACCCCTCAAGTTAAAACACAAAAAAAAGTGCGTGGGGTTCCCCCCAAAATCCCTACCAGACCCTTTAGGTCTGGTGGGAATTTTAAGGGGGAACCTGGCCCCAAAAAATGATCTCTGCTTCATCAGCTTCTTTTGGGGTCCCCAGGTGACATTAGGGGTCCTGGAGACCCCTAATGTCTCCATAAAGAGGACCTGTCAGTGTGCCTTTGCTATTATATAGGGGGATAACAATCCCCCTATGTAATAGCAATAACAATAAGTGTAAAAAAAAAAAATATAAATAAAAAAAGTTTTAAAAAAATAAGTCACATATAAAAAAAGTTTAAACACAGCGGACTTCAACTGGTTAATATGTACCATGTTGAGTTCAGGGAGTGGGGCTGTAGACATGCATATGTTTAAGCATGTGTTGGATATTAACATAGCCTGCAAAGATGTACAGCTGCTTTCTGAACTGACAGGCTGTTTCATGCCTACCTACAGAGACAATATATGGCTAAACTAGGTCCAAGACAGGTCAGAAATTGATGTCAGTAATGAATTCTATGCAGGAGCCACCAACTTCACTCCGTGGGGTTGATGAATAACAGCAGTTTTATGTGTATATAATTTCTGTTTAGCAATAGAGAATAGTCATATGTATTAGGGACAGATGGTTGATATTAGGTTTTTCAAGAAAATGTTTTCTTCCCAGCAGACACATTATGGTATGTGTATTATATGTAGGGAAAAAAATGATTCTTTGCTTGTAGTTTAATTTACTCTTCAGAATACATGTGTAGTCAATGTCTAATCTATTGTGATTCATGTCATTTTAAACCTATAACAAATCTCAAAATGGTTATAAAAGGCTAAGAAAAGTCAATGGAAGCTGTACCCTGCTTTTGTAAATTACACATAACAAACTAGTCAGTACACACAATGCAATCCTGGCCACCAAATAACTCTCCCTCATTGACAAAAAAGATACTACAGAATATATATATATATATATATATATACATACATATATATAATACAATAAATATATATAGAAACTGTATATATGTGTATATATACAGTATATATACACACACAGTACCTAGACTACCCTGATATAACTTTGTGGAACATTTAGGTAACTTAGAGCTACAGCTGTAGCTCTAATTCACCTATATTTTTAGATGAATGATACTTTAGTAGCTCATCGACCAAATACATAGTGCAGTAGCCAATACCACCAGTCAAAACCCATTGCTTTACTGACCCTACTATAGTATGGCAAAATGTAATTGTTCTTTTTATTTGGGTTACTGCACTTTGTACATAGTAATTTATCATCACACTGCTTTAGTACATATTCCTGCATCGACTTGAAGTGGTAGAGGTTTCATTGACTAATAATGACAAAAATTATACAAATATGTAAGATATATGAAATTATATATGTCATATGACAATGCTCAATTCACAAAAGTTTAACACGAGGCTAAAGTTCTTTATTTCCACCAATGTGACTGTAATATTCAAATCTTTCAAATCTTACTGAACTCAGCTAAAAATAACTGTCATATTTTTGAAAATAAGGACCCTTATATTTGTGTATTTGCATTGCTTAATATTTGTCGGCTAGAGTGACCACTATTGCTGTTCCTAACAAAATGAGGAAAGTAAATGATAACTGCTAAGAAAAATCAGAGACTAAAATAAATTCAACATGTTTTCTTTTTCAGTTTGATCATCTGGTGCTTATTACCCATACATGGTCAAGATGAGGGAGCATGGCCTACTGCCGCTGGTGGCCCTTTTATGCCTAATGCTCTCAGGGATACATAGGCTGGATGCACAGCAACAGGAAGGTAGGTGTTAAATTAAACTGAGAGGCACAAACATTTATTAAGGTAGGTATACAGAGTCTGACTTACTAAAAGAAATATTCTCACTTTTTAATCATTTATTTTGAACATATAGAGGAAACCTGTACTGAGAGAGTTATGTGAGTTGCCACTGCAGACCACACTTTTTGAATATGCCAGTTATTTGCCCGGCATGCTGATCCAGCTGCTTCAGCGCTTTCTAAATTGATGTTCCAAAATAAGGAAGGCAAAGGAGGAGTCTTAACTTTTTTGCTGCATATTTGGGCTCAGCAATGACTGAAAAGATTATGGTAACATTCAGAAAACACCATATTTGTCTTAGCAGACATTTCCTTTAATACTGTAGGGGAAATTTCTGATTCTCAAATGTGCACCTATACTTTTTTTTTCAGTTTTGGATAGAATGGGGAAAGGTTATAACCCTTGTCAGGTTTGGCTGCCCCCCAGGGCTCTGTAAGAGAGATTTCTCCTTGCTTCCTGCTCTGGGGACAAGGTTTAACCAGGCAGGAAGTAAAAGAATCTATTTAATGGAGCCTCTGACATCTGTAGATAGATGGATAGATGCACACAAAGCCACACAAGGCCATCACTATAATGAGGCAGCCTGGAGCTCTGCTGCACAATGTTTGCAGTGTGCCTGCTGCCTCCTTTTCAGCCAGAGCATCCCAGGTTGCTAAAAGCCAAGTGGGGAGATGTGTAAGGGCCATACACATCTCCCTACCCAACTCTTAGCAGAGCCTGGGATGCTCTGGCCGGTCTCCTGCCCAGCTCTGGGCAACCAGTAATTTCAATGGTAGCCAGGAGCTGAGCAGGACACTATGGCTAGCATCCCGCCCAGCTCCTGGCAACCTGTGATGTCAGTAAGCTGGACAGGAAACCACATTTGTGCATTTCATAGCTTGGTGTTACCTCCTTAAACCCTTCTGTCTTAGACGCAAGCCCATGCATATCTTATGGTAAATATGTGTATACACATGCCTTAAGTAATGGCATTTGGAATACACTTTTAACATTAAAATATAACAATTGTATACTTTTTTGTACTTGTACAATTAACCACAATTGTAAATATTTGACATAGAACTTGCAGTAGCCTATCCGGTTTAAGCTGCATTTACTGTTAGACAAGGTAAGTCAAGTATTTTGTTCTTACCAAACTGTGTTTATGGGATAGAAATGTAATGTGCAGCAGCTAGACATAATACATTTCTGAGATGGCATTGCTAACGTTTACAGCGTTCATAAGGGTTTTCATTTTTTGGACACCCCTTTCTATGTATAAAACATTTAATTCAGCTGCTCTGCAGCTTACCTAATGTTTCCAGAGTACAGAGGATTCTAAAAATGACATAATTTCAGCTGCACAGTTTCAAGGGAAATCCTCAGGCAGCCTCACTTGTCACCACCCATCTGACTTCATTCACACACACATTAGTTTGGGAACACGCCACCTTAAAAGCCCAGCAGGTTAGATTTACCGATTTCAAGGCTGTGCGGTGCGGGATGCAGCATGTACTGGTCATGTGACCCCCCCCAATGAGTATTTAATTCCATGATGCAGATTCACTGTAAATTAACTTTCACACCCAATGCCATGGCAATTACTTAATTCATTGGACAAAGTACATGACGTCCATTTGACAAGAAAATTCAAATGCCGAGTTTGGTGCGAAGTTTGTAACTTTTTTGGTGTACACTTGCCCCACATCCCATCAGAGGATATCAAGCCTTAGCTTTCAATAACAGATTACATGTTTCTGATTATAGTATGTCAGAAATATGCTCATTGTGTGAAGCACTGGCTTATGCTAATGTTAAGATAAAGGCTGAATTTCTAACAGTTACCTCAGAACAGAGCTATGTAATGGGTATTGTGTATTTTTATTGCCCGTAATAACCTTAATACCAACATAATGTGTATCTATATATA